TGCATGGAGGCATCCGAGTGTTGCGCGTCAAAGTCGACGTTCATGGCCACGGCTCCGATGATGTCGAATGTAAGGTTGATGGTCAGCTTGTTCAGCGCGAACTCCTCACCCGAGCTGGCGTAGCGGTCGAGTTCTTTAATGAAAACCATCGTCTTGTCCACAATACAAGGGAGCAGAGTCATGAGGTGCTGAGGCGCAAACCCCGGGTTGAAGCGCTTGCGAAGCTGCTTCCAGCCCTCGCCCTGCTTCGTCAAGATGGAGTGCGGGCCGATGATTTGCACCATCGTTTCCAGGATTGTGGGGGATTTGGGGACGCTCCAAGGGAAATCTTTCGACCCGCGCGTGATCTGCTCGGCCACTTCATGGTTGTTGACAACTACCAAGGGCCAAGTGACGGGACGAAGATCAAAGTACATGAGCGGCGGGTTTCCCAAAGCCTGGGCCATCCGCACACAAACAGAATCTTGCGAGTTTTGTTAGCCGTCTGTCTTCGTGATTCCTCCCGACTCCGGCTTACCGAAATTGGCATCTAAAGGCCCCTTTATGGTGTACTCGTGGACAGCTTTCATGTGTCCCCAGATGAAAGAGGGATTAAACTGCGGAAAATCCGCGAACTGTTTGAACCGCTTGTTCCATGCTGATACCAACAGATAGGTCGCCGCAAGGGGTAGGACCGCAAACAACAGGATGCCGACGGCCATGACGAGACACGTCCTTCTCACACTTGAGGTGGGGGAGAAGGTGACCTTTCAAACTTTTGAAACAGGAGCCAGTGAGGAATCGGTCTTTTATGGCTGCCAACCCTGGGCTTCAAACCCACCATCCGCCCTCACTTACCATCTCGTTCCCAGCCCAGGTCAACAAGTTCCGTCAGCAAGATTAGCCCCGTCAGCAAGATTAGCCCTGTCAGCAAAATAAGCCTGGGCTAGACCCGTTGGGGTAGGGAGCCAGTGGACCAGGGGAGACAGGCAGCAAGAATCTCCACGGTACAGTAACATGAAAGCACAGCATGCTGAACAATAGGGTGGCGTTGCTTGGGGCACCTGTGTATGTGAATCTTGATGTGGTGTGTGTCTGGAAGGCTCCCTATCCTCCATCTGCACCCTACTCAGGAGGGCTTTTCTCTCAAATGGCGTTGGAAGTGCCACAGAATACTAGCCAAACCAGTCAGGTTGATGGCAACTCTGTTCTTGAAATTCTCAGGGTCATGAACTTCATGTCCCCTGGAGTCGAACACCTCATTCAGGATTGCACAACTCCTGTTTCTCTTGTGGGTGTTCTTCCATAAATTTGCATAATAAGCTGACCCTGGTGGTCCAAAATAAGATCATCATCGAGTCATCTCACCCAATTTGGGGGCCAAGCCAAACAGGACCTGCTGCGCTCGGACTGAATATTCTGAAATGTAAGATTGGTTAATTATGCCTTGCTCCAGGTTCCAGATTTTGTGACTAAGCGCTGACCGGCACGATTCGCCGTATCGGCGTTAGACAAACAAGTTAAGCGCAAGAGGCTTCGTCGCTAATGGTGGTTGAGTCATCGCAGCTTCAGAACCCGGAGGAGTTCGACAAACAGCCTGGCACCATACCTTAGTTATGAAACCATGACACTATTAGAGGTAATATATTGTGTCAAGGAAGTGCTTAAGCAGAAAATCTATCTTCAAGGGCATTCGACATGTCCCTAGGCCTATCTCACAAGCATCACACGGTCTCAAACTATAGATACATTCTGTCGTTGAATCCTGACATTTTTCATTCTATGTAGAGACCTCTACAAAAACAACCCGAGAAGACACCAAAAGCCAAATACTGTCTGTCAGAAACTCAAACCCCTGTTCACAATCTGTCCCAGCGCAAAGAAAAGCACGCCCATCAACTCCAGCCGTCTATTCACAGCTCTGTTCTATTCCAACTCAAACGGTGCACGAGATGCCATAAAAATGGTCCGTCAACGAGATTCGACAAACGCTAGCATGCTTCCATTACTTCAGTTTGCTCGGCTCAGCCTATATTAGACTCTAGACCTCGGTGACATCAAACTTGCCAGTTAGGCCCCTTTCACAAAGGCCTCGTTAGTCTCGCACCCCGCCATCTCCACGACGTCCACGTTGCCCATGCCGTTAGTAGTCTTGGGTGTAGCGGCGAGAGTACTGGCTCGCGCCATTACGGCTGCCCACAGAGCTGATGCTCTCGCTCGGGGCGATGCTGCAGGCGTCATCGCGGCCCCGGCCCTGGTATCCGCCATCCGCCTGCTCGTCCACCTCCCAGTTGGAATCGGCGCTGCTCCTGCGGCCCACCTCGCTGCGGGGAAGGGGCAAGTTGCAAGCAGACATGTAGGAGCTGCCAGCGGGGCGGTTGAAAGAAGCCGCATCGCGGGGCGGGCTGGCGTGGTAGACGGTGGCGTGGCCCCGACTATATCCAGAGTCGGCCGAGGAGCGGGCATAGCCCGAGACACGGCTCGGGGGTGGGGCCCGGGCGCCCAAGGTGCCGACGACGGTCGAGCCGCCGGCCGATGCCGCGGGCTCGCAGCGGGCGTAGCCCGACTGCACCAGGACCTGAACGCCGGCAGGCAGCGTCATGTGGCCAGAGCCCTGAGCCAGCAGCAGCACGTCGGTCTCGCGACCGGTGCGCTCGCCGTGCAGGAAGACGATGCTGCGGCAGCCCTTGAAGTCGAACTCGCGCTCGTAGTTCTCGGCCGCATACTCGCGGTAGTCGTGCTGGTCGCGCGGGCTGAAGATAGCCTTGGTCCTGTCTGTCCAGCGTCTTCTCTGATAAGCATGTTAGTTTCGAGTTCTGTCCAAGACTCCCAAAGGGATGGTGCAACTTACAAGTTCCTGAGCGTCGACCATTGTGGCAGTTGAAGGGTTTCTGGCTTTCTGTTGGGTCTCTTGGAAATTGTTTGATTCGAGGTAATGAGTGTCTTGTTGGGTTGAAGATGTCACATTGCATTATGTTCCTGCAGAGGGCGTCTCAAGTACTTATGTGTGGTGCCAGGAGTCGATGGAAGCCGCTTCATCCAGGGGAGCATCACCATCAGTCTGGTCAAGGCGCTCAGAGACCCCACGGTGGCCCAATCGAGCACTACAAAATATGTGACAAACCCAATCGCGCCATGGCCACACTCAGAGGAGAAGTTTGGAGCCCAACGATGTTGCCCGAGTTTGCCCAAGCATGCAGCCCCATGGCCACTTGGCAGGGGCCCGTCTGTGAGCGTGACGTGGCGAGCCTCACCGACAATTCTACTGGCGCCCGACTCTGGCGGTGGAGCTGGACCATGCCCGAGTCACCTTCGCAATGAGTGAGAACCGCGGCAGGACTCCATTGGATGCCTTGTTTCAGCCGTCTTTGTTGGGCGTCGTGGCAGTCAGGTGAGAGTGCCATGGCTGCCGGAAAGGTGAGATGCCAACTTGTCATTTCCCCTGAAGCTGACAGGACAGTATGGAGAGCGAATGTGACCAAATCCCCTGCTTCACCTAGCTTGTGACTTGTGAGGAATTCTGAAATGCGTTGACAGTTTGGTGAAAATATGTAGTTTCTGAAGCGAGCTGAGGATCTGGACAGAGGATCAAAAGTTCAGGAAGGAACAGAGAGTCTGAAGTAAGTGAAGGAAGAGAGCAAAGTTACATGGAAGTGATCCTGTTGCATTGAGAATCAACTGGCTACATCCGACTCGGCCGGCCCTTTGCCTCGTTGCCACTTGTACCTCTGTCCGCTGTGTTCCTCTCACTCCCGAGAATCAGGTTGACGTGGTGGCTGATTGCGACCAAGTCACCGTGCTCATCCACCAGCAGCACCTCCAGATCAAACCGACCGTCCTTGATCTGTTTCGATTGGACTCTCAAGTGCAGCCACTCAACGCCCTCTTCGGGCAGTCCCTTCTTGATTTCGAGGTTGAGCACGATGGTTGGGTACCAAAACCTCGTGTTTGGGCTGAAGGGGATGCTCTCGCCCCGGCGTGCCTTTTCCTCGGCCTCCTCTTTGGTCGGCCGGTGTGCTTCGACCACATATGGATAGCAATCGGACACAAAAGCGAGTGAAGAAGCGGTCCATTTCTCGCCCGATGCGGGTCGCAGCCATTTGTCGATGATGGTCTTGGCCACCTGGCCACCTCTAGGGTCGTGATAAACGACATTTTGCAAGCAGCGGGCGTAGCTCAACGGGCTACCTCCAGGAAACTCAAACCGAGCCCAGTTGGGATCGCGGTTCTCCCTGAGCGCAGCAAAGTCTGGCGTTTGGGGAGCTCCAACGAGCTGTTGAGAGCTGAAAGCAGTTGGCAGCGAGACACCTTGCTCCTTGCTAAGGTTGGTCATAGTCAGATAGGCGGAAATCTCGGTGCGTGTCGATCCCTGGGTTATCCATGGCGCACTGGGCAGCAGAGCGCGCTGGTACAGGGTGGCGTGGATGGTGGACAGCTGGCGGCCGAGTTTGACGTCCTCAATAATTATGACTGCTGGCCCCGTCTCGCTGCGGTTCAAAAACTGGAAATGCGCGTTCATAACGTCCTTCTGGCCGGCCTGGGCGAGATGAAGGCTCGCAGCTTTGAGGATGCAGGACGCCACATAGCCACCGTTGGGGACTGCCTCGCGTCAGCTCTCGGCTCGGTTCAAGGGAAAGTGTAAAAGCTTACCAGTGCCAATGCAGAAGGAGTCAACGAGGTTCACCTGGTATGTGTGAGAGTCGAGCCTTTCAACTCGTGTGGCCTCGGAAAAAGGTACGAGCTCGGCAGTCGTAGCCATGGTAGGAATAATTGATGACAGGCGAGGACAGTGGCAGGTCTGAAGATCTTTGAACAACACGCTGTCGCAGGACGTTCCAGTGTTGTTACACAAAGCATGATGTATGGTGTAAGTCGGGTGTTCGGAATTCCGGCCGGCTAAGAGGTTAGGAGTCAGGAGTTCGACAAGTGCCAAGTTTGGAGTTGGGGAGTGATCCACAAAGTGTCCAGCATGCCTCGGCTTGTGAAACTTGGCTCCCAGGACCAAAAAGAATCAAAAGTAATGGACAATACCGGATTCGAACCGGTGACCTTTCACAGGGCGCATCAGAGATTGCGAAGCGAAAATCATACCCCTAGACCAATTGCCCTAGTGACTTGTTCAGGGCTTCGGTGGTAGGCTTCACCTGGGACGAGTTGCCGTGCTAGGCACCTTGCCTCGGCTTGTGGTGGGGCAACCAGACTCCTTTTGTATCATCGTGAACAGTAAAACTCTTTCAACATATTGAGGCGTGGTGTCTACTTCGTGCCAGATTTCTGTTCACGGGAGGGATGGGCGCTTCGTTTGAGATCTACGTAGGCTGGTGAGCTCCTCGCTCAGGCTCTGACGGTCGGGATGACAGTTCGTGGTCCCTGAAGCACATGCTTCTCTTTCCCAGGGCGAGACCCTGCTCACAGGGCTGGTGTGGATTCGAGTCTGTCAGGAACTGCCGGGAACCAGGGTCAGGGGTGATCTTTGTTGAGAAAATCCTCCCAGAGGGCTCACAGTTTTTGTCTGCTGGCTCAACTGCCATCGCAGAGATAAGGACTTTTGAACACTCAGACAACAGGACAGAAACACAAAACTCAAGACCCTGATCGTCGACCAAACACCCTTTTCTCCAAACCCCATTCTACTCCTTCATTATGTCTAGACAAGTGGTTGAAGCCGAGTCCGCGATGCTCGGCTTCAAGAAGCTCAGCAACCAGGTGTACTTGCGGGACGGCGAGCCGGGCGCCCAGGACCCCAGCCATCCCTCCACGGTGATCATCTACGGCTGGGGCGATGCGCGGCCCAAGCACGTGGCCAAGTACGTCGACGGCTTCCAGCAGCTGTTTCCGCACGCCCGAATCGTGCTCATCTTTTCGCCCATTCTCAAGGCACTTTATCAGACACTGGACTCGCGCTCGCAGACCATGATCCCCGTCATCGACGCCATCTACCCGGGCCTGCTGGAAAACCCAAACGACCCATCCGCAAAAGACAAGACCACCAAAGAGCGCGTCCTCCTCCACGTAATGTCCAACACAGGCGGCATGAACTGCGCCGCCACCATGAACGCCTACACCCAACGCACAGGGGGCCAGCTCTTCCCGCACGACATGATGGTATGCGATTCGACCCCTGGAAGCACGCATTTCCTCCCCAACGTGGGCCCCTGGTCGCGGGCCCTGGCGCTCGGCCCGTCCCGCTTCCTCCCCTGGCCGTTCGTCGTGACGCGGGCCCTGGCGGCCATCTTCCTCGCCTGCCTGCACGGCTTTGGCTGGGTGCTCGGGGCGACGAGCGCGGCCGAGTTCAGCACGGGCGCCGTCAACGACACGCGCTACTCGGACAACGGCGCCAAGCGGCTGTACCTGTACTCCAAGGAGGACGACATCATTCACTGGGAGGACATCGAGCAGCACGCGGCCGACGCCCGCGGGAAGGGATGGGATGTGTCGGCCGAGATGTTTGAGGGGACCTCGCACGTCGGCCATATGCGCGCCCATCCGGAGCAGTACTGGGCTGTCATCGCGGCTGCGTGGAACGAGGCCACGAGCTCGAGGGCGCAACAGTGAACGAAGGGCAAAAACGGACTCTGGAGTAAAACAGGTCGTGCTTGAGACATGATAAGACATAGACATAGATTAGTAATGCCGCATGATTTAGCTTTAGTCTCTCTCTGGAGGCGTGGGGCTTGTGCGTGTTCCAAATCTGAGGGTAGCGGGATCGTAGAGTGCAAACCGTGAAAAAGCAGCAGTGTCTGCTGGATCACAACAGCGGGCGCATCATGCTACCGTAGATTAAAGTGACGGACGTTTCCAGTTGGTTAGGTTTTTTTTTTCATTTTCGGCTATTACCTGAGGTGGCTTAGGTGAAAGGTATTCGGTCATCCAGAGACACTGCAGGGTTTCATCCCTTACCCGTTTAAAGGGTGCCAGCGGTCTTGAAATCGTTGAGGCACTCGGTAACACGAGCGGACATGGTCTTCTCACCCTCACGAACCCAGACCTGTAAACGTCAGTACCAATGCGCAATGGTAAACTGGGAGGGGTGTACATACTCTCGGGTCGTACTTCTTCTTGTTGGGCTTGTTGGCGCCCTCGGGGTTGCCGACCTGAGTCTTGAGGTAGTCGATGTTCTTGGTGACATAGTCACTTCATTCGTATCAGCAAAAGCACAGGTCATCTGCATCAGATAATACTCACCGGATACCAGTGAGGTAAGACCACTGGAGATCAGTGTCGACGTTGACCTTGACGACGCCGTGCTGAAACAAGTAAGCAATTGAGCTTGTGCGCCTTGGACGTGGCAACTTACGCTGATGGCATCGAGGTACTCCTGCTTGCTGGAGCCGGAGCCGCCGTGGAAAACGAAGAAGACTGGAGGAGTCAGCAGGCATTCGTGCGCTGTGTATGAATATCTCGGCTTACCGGGCTTCTTGTCCTCGCCGCCGAGCTTCTCGGAGACGTAGGCCTGGTGCTTGCCGAGCAGCTCGGGATGGAGACGGACGTTGCCAGGGGCATAGACACCGTGGACATTGCTACCAAAATGTCAGTACTGCCGGGGGGTATCTCGGGAGATCAGCTCGTACCCGAAGCCAGCGGCAATGGAGAAGTAGGGGGAGATGGGGCGGAAGGCCTGCTCGCTATGAGGGGGTCAGTAAATGGCCAGATTGCCATTGGAGGGGTCAAACACACATCTGCCAGATGTCCTCGGGCCTAATGCGGGGTTAGTCATGTTCGCAACATCGAATTGAGGGGCCACGTACTGGGTGTAGAGAGAAGCGTTGTCGACCTGAGACATGGAAAGACGTGTCAGTAATGGCAAGGTCAGCAGCCAGTGCCAGCCAAACTTACGCCAGTGTTGTCGACACCGTCCTCCTCGCCGCCCTGTAATGAAGAGCGTCAGCATTTTTTAGAAAACAAGACAGGGGGGGTATTTTCCATACGGTGATGCCAATCTCCATCTCGAGCCACTGCTTCATGGGCGCCATGCGCTTAAGGTAGTCGACGCAGGTGTTGACGTTCTCATCGACGGGCTCCTCTGGGATCAATGTGTGAGTTTTGCGCAAGCCGTGTGAGTAGGTTCGGCGACTTACCAGACTAGTTTTGTTAGCAGCTGCAGTCTCTGAAAGTGTGCAACTGGAGGGCGGAACATACCAGATCAATCATGTGGGAGGAAAAGAGGGGGACGCCGTTCTTCTTGAAGAACTTCTCGTCCTCGTCAAGCATGCCATCAAGCCAGGGGAGGAGCTTCTTCGCGCAGTGATCGGTGTGGACTAGACAACACAGAGTCAGCAGCAGCAAGGAGACAAGGCGATGGCGCACTTACGAACGACGGGAACGCCGTAGCTGGGAGCGATGGAGCGGATGTAGTGAGCAGCGGCAACGGCACCGGCAACGGACGCCTCGCGCTTCTCGGCGCTGTCCTTAATGCCCTTGCCGGCGAAGTAGGCGGCACCACCCTGGCTTGTTTGGAGGCTAACCGCGCATTGTCAGCATCTGCCGGTCTCCGCACGCGACAGCTCGGATTGACGGAGGAGGGATCGTGGCGCACATAATGGGGGCCTTGGCATCGCGGGCAGCCTCAAGGACAGCGACGACAGTGCTGCTGGAGGTGACGTTGGCGGCGGGAATGGCAAAGCCCTTCTCGCGGGCGTACTGGAAGAGCTTCAGGACATCATCGCCTGGTAAAGTTCGCGGTTAGTGTTGGCTCCTCCGGTCTCGGCGAGGGGTATAAGGAGGGGTAGAGCGCGTACCATAGATGACGCCGACGGGCAGGTTGAGATCCTATGCAGGGACCGCAGGTCAGAAGGGCATGACCCAAACATCACACGCGCAGAAAGGGACGGGTTGGGCCGAGTGGATTGTTCACGTACCTCGAGGAGACCCATTGTGACAGTTTGGTTGACTGGAGTCGGTAGGTTTGGTTGGATCAAGGTTTGCGATGGCGGGGTAAGAGTGAGGTCAGAGCAGCGGACTGTGTGAGAAAGCGCGATGAATTGGACCAGAAGGGCTGAGCTGAAAGTGTTTCAGAACACGGTTGGAAAGAGGAAAAGGGACTGCTGAGTCTCGCACAAACGATCTGCCGTCCGCCGGTGAGGGATTTGTATGACGCAGCTCTGATTGCGAGGGAGGGGCATGGAGGGGCAGCAGAGAGCGAGATGGAAGTCGCAGGAAGTGGGATGAGCGCGTGGGTGCGGGGTCAGTCCATGTTCAGCAGGCGGGAGCTCAACAGAACGCGCCGCTTCACAGGTTCGACAGGGCGTCGCGGGGCACTGTGGAACCCCGACTTGCTGTTTGAAGGCCCAAAACAGATGGAATTTACGTCAGGACAGCTGATGGCCCCACCAATCCGCGATTGCGACGTCGAGTTACACAACACAACACCTTATTCTTCTCCTCCCCCAATCTCGCGAAATCCTTGGGCAGATATGTCTGGGACGACATTTCCTTGCCGGGCTGGCCTCGACCGCCACACACCGCACTTCCGTCAGCCAGTTCGGCCGAATTGGCCGAAGGAAGACGACCACCGCCATCCCACTCGAACCATAGCCGCGAGCTTGACCTGAAATCTGCCCCACTTCTATCGGCAGCTGAGAGGGCGTCGGGGACCAATCCCTTGGTTGTCTTTCGCTTCGGAATCTCGTCTTGGCCTCCCGGGTCATGGCCGGCACAAGCCGGGACGTTGTCCATTTGTCTGATCCCGCCCTCTGTTCACGACACTGCTCCGGGACGAACCGGCACAACCACCTTGGGGAGAGACGCTTCGGTTGACCTCGGTCCGAGTTGAAGCGTAGACCGCCTGCGTCAAAGAAGGAACCGTCACCCCAACAAACAAACAAGTCAAACCTCCAGATTTTTCTCGAACCCAAGACACGTCCTCACTAAACCCGTCGACGACGCACAGGAAGAAGCAGCAAACACCAGAGGGGGTTCGCCCTCCTGTCCGAGGTCGACGACACCCCCCAGCCAGGATCCCGGGGGCCTACGGATGGAGGGACACAGGCGGCATCGATTCAGGTGAATTAGGGCAACCTTGACCGTGGAAGGCTCTTGCGACGGCAATCTTCGATCGACCCAGGACGGACATCTCCGAATCGACCGGAAGGGATGGGGAGGGAGCTGT